ATTGCTGTTGTTGTTGTTAGGTGCCATTGAATTGAGTATGACTCATAGTGACTCCGCAAACAACAAATCTGAACTCTGTCCTATCTTGTGCTGTCCTCACACTTCCTGACACATTAGAGCACATTGTGGCAGTCACTGTCAATTCAACCAACTGATGATCTTTTCTCTCTCTTCCCTCACTCCAAGAAAAGAAGAAAGAAGTATTTCAACTCCTATCACACATAATAATACCGAATTTAAGTTGAAATATGATATAGATCTAATAAAAAATGAAATATGTAAAACTTCTGGAAGAAAACATAGGAGAGCAATATTTGTGAAATTGAAGGAGAAAAGATTTCTTAGAAGAGTTACATAAAGTACAAACAAGAAAAGGAAAAAGGGATAAATTGGACTTTATCACAATGAGAAGGTTCTAGTATTGTTCAGCCTGCTTTCAGCTACATTTTGGACACTTGGGAAGGCCTTGTGAACACACTGGGGCCAAGCTTTACGTGAACAGTGACAGTGACTTGGAACGTCAATTGGGAAGAATGTGATTAGCTGAGGTGGCAACTAAAACATTGAAAAAACCACAGTTCTAGGGATTTAAAAAAATTAGAAAGAAACATGGAGAAATTCTAGGCTCCCTGTATTTTATTTTAGTTCAGTTTAGTTGAGAAGTGACTTGGAGATTTATTCTTTGAGCATTAAAAGGTAGTCTAGTTTCTAAATTCTAGATAAGATGGAAATATTTGTGTCATAACACCTGAAATGTATGCAGTGCTTTTTGTGTGACAGGCTATGTTCTCAGAGCTTTGAAGATACTAATATCTTTAACCTCGAATGAGACCCAGTTTGGAGTATCCTTAGGTTTAATTCAGTTTTATCCACCTGCTCATATAGAGAGCTGTGTCTGCCTCTGGCATCTTGGCTTCCAATACTGCCTACTTTATCAAGTGATAGACAGGCCTAGAATAGCCCTTATCATGCCTGTTATGACAACAGCTACACATTTCTGACCCAAAAAGACCCACAGAGGCTCTGGTGTTATGAATGGCCACCCAAAGGGACTGAGTTTATGGCTATCTAGAAACGGAGAAAATATAGAGCAATGGCAGACGGTAGACTGGAGGTAGCCAGTAGATCTTTTTCATTCATTCCCTAATAGTGTTTTGAGGGCTTCCTGGAGGCTGTCTCTTCAGGGAAGCCTGTGAGAGCTGGAATGTGGTAGAAGTGCCTTGTTTTCCTGGGTCTTAGAAGTCTTCTGCTTTTAACAAAATATCGTCTCAATTAGTGGCAAATATTTGAGTTTTCCTTCTTTGACAAATATTCCCCTTACACAATTTCCAGCTTTTACAAGTTTTGCTATATAAATAACCAGTCTAATGTGTTTTCTTGTAAAATACTTTACATTTACTTTCCCTCACTCTATGTTTAATTTCTGTTTTACCTTCACTCTAGGGTGGAGGGACAGTGTAGGAGTGGAAGACCCCAGAGAGGGAGATGGGTTAGCACAGTAACTGGGAAAATGGGGGTAGGTGTGTCAGAGACACTGAGACTGGCTTAGGATAGAGCAGAGTTCAGAGCTTTTGTACTTTGGGTCGCTATGATTGCAGGGGTCTCGATGGCACACAACAACAACATGGAAAAAGTAGGTAATAGTATTATATCATCTTTTTTACAAATAAAAGCTGGACACCTAGAGGATTAGGTAACTTGTCCAAGATTTTACAGCCTGTAAGAAGAGGCAAGATTTGAACTTCCAGGTCCATGCTGTTAACAATTTTGTTATGTGTAAGGGAGCTTGGTCTGGTTGCCTGTTAGCTTTTTCTTTCCAGAAGCTTCAAGTGAGACCTTCTTGCCCTTGGTATGAATTCTGGCAGCTGCAGAGTCCGTACTTTGTCAGAGTTTGTCTGTGGGCCCTTTACGTTGTATTTGTACCTATAAAAGCGGATTCAAGTTCCTTTGGATGAAGAACTCTTATAAGTTGAAGCATATAAGGAACAGAAGGTCCAGCTATTCTTGACAGCTGGGTAGACAGATACATTCAGCTAAGGGAACATTTCTGACTGGGATAAGATTGCTCTTCAGGCTGTGATGTGAACTAACGAACCTTCAGGCTGCAGTTTGCCTGTCACTAGACAGAAAAGAAAGTATAACCCTTTTTCATTCCCCACCTGCTGTTAAAATGACAGGTGTGCCTTTTACTGCCAAAGAGTAGCCAGTTCTATTACAATGATGATATAGAGCAGGCTGAAAGCCACCTTTCCAGGACCTATGGTAGAACTTTGTTGTTTTTAATAATAAGCTATTCAATGATAAGTTTGAATAAGTCAGCTGTGGCTTCATGACAAGAAACGCACTGAATTTTGAAGTTGGAAAGCACATATGGATGGAAAGTGGAAAGATAATTGGCATTGATTCTGTCATTTATCAAGGAGCTCTCGGGACACTGTGGCTAAGGCATTCCTTTTTCTAACCACAAGGTTAAACCCAGGCAGAGCTGGTGTCCTCACTGACAGAATGAGGCAATGGCAATAGAGAGGGCTGGACACATTCAAAAGCAGTATGATGCAAAATGAACTGACTTTGATTAGTGATTGGAGGGGTGAAGGGAACTAGGAAACCAAAAGGTAGCTTATGTGGGTTTTGCTTGGGTAAGCAGCTGTATCATGGTTCCACAGATAATGAATAAAAACAAAAAAGAATCAAGAGGAAACGTGGCCTGAAAGAGGAAGGATAGTGAGAGGGAGTTTGGCTTTCCACCGTCTAACTCTCAAGGGCCTGTAGGAAATTTAGATGGTATTGTCTGCTGTAAGTAGTCCATAAAAAGAAGGAAATAGCTTTCTCTAAAGACTACTTAGTTGTACCGATAAAGTGTGAAATAATAATTATAAGGGAAGCTTCTGGAGACAGGTACAAAGTAAATACAAAGTAGAAGTGTTAATATAATATTTAATTCAACATCCTTTGTGTTTCTCCTTCACAGTAGAAAAAAAGTAATACATTCATTTGTGATAATGTATGAGTGGCTTAATTTATTATTCCTCCTATGATAATTTGTGTTTTATAAAAGACAGTAGTAGTGGATCCTGTAGAAGGGATTTGAAATACATTAATCCTAGAGGTGGGAGCATTTTTTTTCTTTTTTGCAAACAGCCCTTCTAGAACTCGTCAAATCAATTTCTTGCAGCTGCTAACCCCATGTGCATAAGAATAATATGTGGATTCCCTTGAGTATGGGAGTAATTTGAGTGACCAAAAGTTATCATAAATGTTATACAGTGATATAGCTATCGTTGAACTATGCACCATCCCCCACCAAATACATATACGTTGTTTCAAAGTATTTAACTCCTCTAGTATCTTGGGATTGTAACAATAGAAAATAAATTATTATTTATCGCTATTAAAGCAAAAATCCTGGTTATTTGAATGATTATTTGAATGGGGAGAAAAATGGCTTCTTTTTAGCACTGCTCAGCCATGCTTCATTTTATGTGTTCCGAACCCTTTCTATGGGGAAATGTGCACCCCCTCCATTCCCACATCAACTTTTATTTGTAGGTATATGATGAAAGTTCTCTCAATGACATGAACAGTGACTGTGATCATCAGTTGCACCTTTCCCAGGAGAACTTAAAGTAGAATATCTTTCTTGGCCTAATCAGGAATGAAGTCGTGGAGATCCAAACAGGGGAATGAAATATCCCAAAGATCCACATTTGGTTGGGACATTACTAAAGTGCTTTTCCATTCTCACATCTCACTCCTTCTTTTACCACTAGGCAATTGTTTCCTTCCTATTAGAATACCATCCTTTTTGAAACAGCCAAATTACATAGGAGAATGGCCCTGCTCTTATGATTCAGTGAGCTAGGGATCTTTTCAACCAGGCAAAACTTGACCCATCTCTCAGATTTCCTAACTTTGGTTTCTATTTCGAGAGCATGCTGCCTAGTCTTCCGACACTATCCATCTGTGTCAGTTCTCAAGGCCACAACTTCATTGGAATGGTCAGTGATATATGACAAATAGAGTGGACCAAAGACATTAAACTCTCTATGGTATTTCTATGGACTCTGAGCCCACCAGAGAGGAACTGATGCTGCCTTGAAGCTTTGTAGTAGTCAGGGCAAACAAAAGACTAGGCAGTCTGGTGAGAGAATGAGGGCAGGAAAAGCAATAGCTTTCTCCACTCACTTTTCTCTTCTGTAGAGGCTGTCTCACATCTTTGAAAAATAAGTGAGTGGAGGGATTTGTGGGGTACAGCAGAGAAACAAACCCAGTCTTTTTAATCAATAGAACCAGTAGCATTGCCTGGGCCAGTGATCAGCACAAGTTTACAGAACACTTAAAATAGCCCACGTGGTGCCCGTGCTCCATACACGTCCCATGTTTTAGTGGAATAAAGAAAAGAATATGGATGTGAATGTGCAGTGGCTCAAGCCAGGTGTTTGCCTGAATGCCCACTGTATCTCTTTGGTGACTGTCTTCGACATCAGGATCATGGGCTTATTTAATGGGTGCTGTCGTCTGGGAGGGTCAGAAGGCTGGCATTCCATGCTGCATGACCAGCCAGCAAACTAGACTGAAGATAGGAATTTGTATTCAGGATTATCAGCATATCAGACCCATCTTGACTTGATCCAACAGGTATTTTGTGGATATTTGGGAACCTGGTTTGAAAATGCTCTTCTCCAACAAAACAGCCATCTATTTTCATAGCTAACTCTAATCAGCTACACAAGCCTTTAATGTGCATGCTGCAAACAGGACCCCCAGTTATCAGAAACGGGGCCTCCCCACTTCAGCGCCTGCCTTTCGACAAGGACACGGATGTTGCAGACCTCCGTGTGTGTTGATGTGCAGTCTCCACGGACTGCCTGCAGCTAACTTTGGAAGAGGCAGATCTTTCTGTCGTTTAAACCACAGCAAGACATTCACATTTTAAAAACAACCCATGCCCCCAAAGCCCCACAGTCACAGGAAGAAGGGAAACAATAAATTTGACTTACCAGCTTGGGTTGTTCGAGGCAGCTGAGGGACAAGTGGTTGGTAATTGCCCAGGGCTTTCATTCACTAAATCACATTGGCTCTGCTTTCTCCTGTGGCTCAGCCTCTGCGCAAAGCAAGCAAACCTCCTTCCTATTCTGTGTAAAGAATAAAATGCGAACAGGATCAATACAGGCAAGAGCTCAAGTCCATGATCACTAAGCCACTCTTAATGCAGAATAAAAGAGCAAGGGATGCCCGGGGAGAGAAGGGGGGAGAGGGAACCAGCTTGGCTCAGCATCTAGGTGTCCTCTCACGCCTGCAGTCCCAGGAACGCTTGGTTTCTCAAGCTCGTGTGTGTGTGTGTGTGTGTGTGTGTGTGTGTGTGTGTGTGTGTGTAGTAAGAAGATGCTATGACTTCAGTGTGTGTTTAGCCTATTGTGTCTGTGAGCACCATTCACAACGGCATGCAGGGATAACAGGCTTCATGGCAAACAAGGCTGAATTGGAGTCGACTGTCACTCAGGGGTGAGCAAAGGGGCCGCAAGGCAGCTTTGCACGCCATCGACCCCAGGGAAAGAAAGACCATCTGACATATCAGAGCTGAGCAGTAATGTGCAAAGGACAGTCCGCTGACACCCGCTTCCTCTTACAGCTGCCTGCAACCAGAAGCTCGCAGGTGGCAGTCATAGCCCTTTGCCACAGGGCACCTGTGCGATTCTTTACAAGCTCCCAGCATCAGCAAGGTGATCTTACGAAAGCTCCAAATCCAGCCAGAGCTGCTCAACTCGTGTTTGAGTTTTAGTCTGAGCAGCTTCTGAGAAAGTGGTCAGCATACATGAGACTTAGGGCAGTGAGAGGCTCGGGAGCCAGATTCCCAGTGCCCTCCTGTGCCAACACGTGCGGGTGTATCTGGCATCTCACATGCTAGTCCTTCCACGATGAATGAAATACACAGAATGGGTTTCCTAGAAAGCCACATAGGTAGACATATTTTTCATGCTTCTCTCTGAAATGAAGTGGCAAAAGGCATACACAAACTGCGTCTTATGTTAGGGGCGAAACATTGCTGATTGGGGATACACATGAATAGTGCTGTCAGGCATACACACACATACACACACGCCCCTAGCAACCGCATTAAGTCTTTGTAAAGCTCTATTCCGATTCTCTCTCTGGTAAATGAATGCTCAGCTGCTGTGATGACTTCAGACATGAATTTGGACCTTTCTACTCGGCACTTACTCTGTTCTGGTATACCTGGAGCCAAATCAACTCCCAGATTTTTGAATGTGACTCTTTTTAGTTAATCAAAAGAAGAATTTCTTGGTTATAAACCAAGAAAGAGGGCAGGTTCATCATTGGTGTGTAATTATTCACAGACCTAGGAATGGCATCTTGTATCCCCTTTTTCGAGACAGCACCTTACCCCACAGCTCACCCACCACTGGCAGGTGGCTATGCTGGTTCCTGTACCTGAAACAGGGCTTAGTGACTCCTAAAGTCTGGGTCCCCAAAAGAGAAGCTCAGGTTAGTTTTATAAAATTGCTTCATTATTTTTCTGTTTGTTCCTCATCAGAAAGGCAGAATCTCTTTCTGGGACATTTAGTCATTTTTCTCTGTTTGAACTTGACAGTACATGGAAGCATTGCTATGTTGTTTTTATTATGTACTGTTGAGTTGAGTATGGTTCATAGTGACCCTGTCAGCAACATTGAAACTCTGAACAGTGAGTGTCCTAAACTCGTGCCATCCTCATCATATCTGACACACTTGAGCCCATTGAATCTCTCTGTTTGTCCACCTGGTCGAGGATTTCCAAGTGTGATGTCCCTTTCCACGGAATAGCTTCTCCTAGCAACATGCCCAAAGTGTATGAGATGAAGCTTTGCCGTTCTTTCCTCCCAGAAGCACTCTGGTCACCCTCTTCCCCAAGACATACTTAATGTGGGAATATTCATGCCCTTCAGGCTCCATAAATTATTTTTTTTCATTAAATATTAAAGTCAGGCTACCTATTTACAACTTAAAGCTAAACAATTGCCAGGTAAAACTTGATTGATTGGCTCTGGAGAATCTTTGACTTTAGTGCTGCTTTCGTAGATGTTCTGAGATAAGAATCTGGTGGTTCTGAAAAATTCTACTCAGGGTAGGAAGCTGCTTCACAGGGGTCATGAATTAAAATTTGTATGTGAACCAAAAAAAGAGATGATTGCTACCTTAATGGGGCGTGGCCTCCTGGAGCAAATATTCAAGTCAGAATGAGTGAGGTGTAGTCTCTTGCAAAGATTCATTCATCCATCCACCCATCCATTCCTTTGTCTACTCTTCAATAGATAAATTCAAGTATTTAACACATTAGATCCACTGTAGATTCCACCATCTATTAGGCTATCATACTCCAAGGATGTGTGTGTTACTGTTGATATACTGGAAGCTATCTCTCAAATGACCAGTAAGGTCACTTACAGTGAAAGGTTGCAATAGAGTTTCCAAGCTTAGATTAGGAAGACTGGCCAAATAAAACCCTATGGATCAAAGAAGAACCTTGTCTGATTAAATGCTGAAAGATGAACTCCCTAAGTTAGAAGACACTCAAAATACACAATGGCTGCATTAATGAATTTGAGCTTATCAATGATTGGAAAGATAGCAGGGAATTGTCATGAGTCAGAGTCACTGTGATGATTACAACAACTACATTGACGAAATATGAACTCTGTAAGATACCTCTGCAAAATTCTCTATAATACAGTCTCAGCTTAACTACTTTGTACCTCATGATAAAGACTCTTTGAATGTCTTTGAGGTCATTCACATGTGATGCTCTCTTCAACGCCACACCTCTGCATATGCTATCCTACCTGGAATGCTCACTCTCTCTTGTTTGACTAACTTCCAAACAGCCTGAGAATCTCTGTTTAAACATCACCTCTTAGGGTTGATTTTCCTGGTCCCTGTAGAATTAGATACACAGATCTGTGGGCCTGTGGTGCCTCTCCTTGTATTGCATTTCATTGGTTAATGCAATCATCCTCAGTGCTATATCCCCAGTGTACGGCTGAATTCTTGGCAGATAGAAAGCATTTAATACATATTTATTGAGTTTTCCCTTATTTTTAAAAGGTTTTTAGCATGCATTTATTGAATGAATGAATAAACCACCGCAGAGAATAACAAGGTCTCAGAATTGGAAGGATCCTTAAAGTTCACAGTACATCTGATTTTTTTTCTTTTTTTGCCAAGTAGCCATTCACTCAAGGCTTGCCTCCTCCTGTTTGCCCTTCTTAATTGATTTCAACCCATACTGATATGGCATTTCCTTCTTCTAGCACTCCCTAGAGCTCTCACAGCATGTTCTTGCCTTTATTCTCTAGTGTTTTCTTTGAGTTTATCTCATCTCTACAAACTGGCTTTCTTCATATCTCCTGGCGTTAAGTCTATAATATCTGGTGCTTGATTCATTCAACAGCAAACATTTGAACAGAGAGTGAAATGATCAGAATCTTGCTTTAGGGAGATTGCTGTGGGATGGAGAGAATGATGGAGTGGATAGGCCAGATCCAGACAGGACCATAACAGTCACTACCACCCAGGGAAGGGCTTTAAAAGCAGCCTCGCCCTCTCTTTGCCTCCACCCCTTCCCCAACACGCCACCCTCCAAAGTCATAACACCTGTGTTCTAATTCAGAACATTGAGAATGTTTCAATCCATACCCAGCACTTCCCCTCCACCCAATTCCACCCCCACAGTTAGTTCACTTATTTATGTTATTTGTGAACTTGTCTCCCTGTTAAGATTAAAAGCTCCTTTGAAAACAGGGATTGCATTTTTGTTCTTTTCTATCTTCTTCCTCCAATCTTTATATTATGTGGTCCAAGACGTTGCAGATAACAAGTGCTCAATAAATATTATGGAAAAATAAATCCCAGTTACAATATGCAGAGTACCAGATTAAGCACTGTGGTGGTGGTGCGGGGGGAGGGTACAAAAAGGAACACATCTTTCCAAGGTTAAGAGATCTACATAGTGAAGGAGCTGCAGCTGATTACAGTGCAAGACATTTAAATAATGGCTGTAACGATTATGAGCAATGTACTGACAGAGTACAAAAAGGAAAAAAAAATGTATTACTTCCTTCTGGACTACTAGGGACGATTCACAAAGGAGACTGTATTTGAATTGGATCTTGAAGAATAAAGACCATCAGCAGGTTATGAGCAAAACAAAGGAATGAGTATAGAATCCAGTGGAATAGGTGTGAAAGGTAATGAGTAGAACTAATGAAATTTAGGTTCAAAGGAAGGCAGGGGCTAGACTGAGGAGGGCTTGAAGGCTGTGTTAAAGAGTTTGGATGCTTTGTCTGGTGACAGGAATCTGAGCAAGAGAATGTCATTATGAGCTCCTGGTCTGGCCATTGTGGACAAAAAGCTGAAAACAGGAAAACATTGGTAGGGACCTGTGAAAAGGCAAATCAAGAGATGAGAACAGATCACACTTTGAAGATTAAATTTATAAGTGGAAGAGGGGAGGAAGTGAAAGAGGAAGAGAAGCTTAAGATGACTTTTAGAGTTTTGACCCAGGGAAACTGGCTGATGATGATGACAACAGTTGATCCCAACAGGCACACATGATACAGTCTGTGTATTTCCTTAAGGCAGAGCAAAGAGCAGGAGGCTGAGTCTTTGGGGCCACGTGAATGTGTTTAGACTTACTTTGAAGAAGCCATTTAGTGGATGGAAAGAGGACCTCGTGAGCCCTAGTGGCACCGTGGTTAAAGCACTCAGCTGCAGACCACCTGGTCTGTGCTTTACATTCCATGGGATAAAAATGTCTCACTCCACTTCCATAAAGATTCAGAACTTTAAAATCTCCTGGTATGATCCAAGATGGCGGCAGAGGCAGAGACAGCGTGGTGAGCTGCGGGAGCAGCAAACCACTTAAAGCAGGGCCATTATGGCCTTCCACAGACTTCGGCTTATTGATAATTGAACATTTAAACAGTTGATGACTGGCGCTCAGTGAAGATCAAGGCTCAACAACAGGAATTCAAGGATTCCCAAGGAGAAATGGGCAAAAGAAGATGATTACCTATACAATGGATTGCGGAAAGTCACTGTTTGCTCCCTTTCCTATAGGTAACCTTAACACTGAGTTTTACTCCAGAATTGACCCTGAACCCAGTGCCAGTGACAAAAAGGAAATACAACTGCCAGCTAAGGAAGCAAAGGAGGATGGAGCCTCTGGGTTCAACCAGCCATCCCCACTGGACCCACCTGGGAAAACACTTTGTAGTCCAGAGGGGAGCAAATGGCAGGAAAATATCTTCTAACAGAGCAAGAAGGCAAGCAACTTTAACCCAAGACCACCAGTAAGGTGATAAAGCATCCTCCCTTCCCCCCTTTACATCTACGCCCCTGTTCAGCATGAAGAAGCCAGAGAGTTGGCATCCAATTCCCAAATCAATAAGACAGTTGGTTTAATTACCATTGGAAAATGCTTGTCATTCCTCTGTAGCATCTGGTCCCTCATCATTTCCTTCACCTGCTCCCCCCACTGACCAA